AATTTTTTCAGCTTTGATTACCAAATCACATATCTAGGGCACTGTCAAGCAAATTGCATGAGGATGAAGAACCAATAAAAGAATAATGGTATTATGCCTTAAAAGAAAAAGCAGTTTATAGATAATTTATTACAGTGATTGTATATAAGACCTGCTGTTAATTCTCCACCAAATTTGTTAGTATCTGTCTTTACTGTGCTATATCAGATACCTGAGGAAAATCAAATTAGGTAGTGTCATGATTATTTTTCTATAACAGTTCATTCTTTCTAACTGGAGTGTCCCTAGAGAATACCTAACTGTTTACAAGAGAACATTTCTTACAGGATTTTATTGAGGACTGAAGTGAGTTTACAACATTGTGTTCCTAGACTATATATCTCAAAGTCAGAATTATGAAGACAAATTTTTTTCCAACAGTAGGAATTGTACCTCAAGTTCTTGAGTCCTGTAGCTTCTATTCTGGCAGAGACTTTCTCAGAGTTAATGTTTGCAAATTTATCACCAAGAAATGGGATAGGAAAAAAGTGATAATAAGAAAAATATCTAACAGATTACATCTTATGAGTAATAATGGGGGTAAGAAAAGCTATGTCAAGAATGACCCAAAGAGTTAGTGCTAGAGTAAGAAAGAGTATGTGTTTGGTTTCCATGGGATTCAAGAAATGACACCAATGTACAAATTTTGCTTTGACTTTTGTTTAGGTTTGGAAACTTGATCAGGACATAGTTTCTCTAAATTTCTTTGAATAGTCTTAGTCTAACACGCTCACTTTGATTGAACACAGAGAACTTAGTGATAATTTTACTTTTTCCCTTGTATCCCTTCTTAAAAGAGTCCCTAACTGCAACGTTTCTCCACAATTGGTTGAGGTTAGGGTCCTAAAAGGATCACTTGTGTGAAAATGAGTAGAATAATTAGAAAAAGGATTTTGAATTTATGTTACTGTTCTCATGGTTGATTTGAAACTATACAAAAAATTGTTGGTAAAACAAATGTGATTATGTCATAGTAGCCACTGTAGATAGGCCAAACAGGGCTAGACATATAGGCAGCAAGTAACTAAGAAAACTACTAAGACAAGCAAAGACAGATAATACAAGAGGTAGGAGATAGTGTGACATAAAGACAAAGAACAGGAAGATCCGAGTGAGAAACTAAGAGAGTTAGAGAAACAACTTATGAACACACAAACACGGGAACAACAGATGATACTGACACATTTTAATTCTGTTACATTGCAAAACCTGAGGCTCTTTCCCATTCATTCTATTCTCTAATTTACATATAACAGAACTTCTAGTGTTGAGGATGTAATTATGTGACAATTAGTAAAACGTAGAGTCAAATAACCACTATCATAACCAGACAATGTATCCAGTAGATTCACCTGAAATTTTAAGTTCCTTATGATATTTTGCAGTTAGCCTCTTGTGACTAATTTTTAGCATGGGCAGTGATGTAGAACACACACTTTCATTTTATCAAAGTATATAAACAATGTCATAAGAATATGTGTGTCTATCTGCAGCCAGCTTAATTGTTTTTTTTTCAAATACCAATACAGCTTTTGATAGAGGATACATGTCTTACTTTCCTATTGAGGTGAAGCTGCCATTACCAATGCAGCTTGTGGAAGAGTTTATGGCACCTTACAGTTTCAGAAAGTGCATGATCATCACAGAGAGAGAACACAGAAGCAGGAAGCAAACAAGGCATTGTAGTAACAGCTGAGACGTTACATCCTTAGTTACAAGTAGGGAACAGGAAAAGACAGAACAAACTTGGAATTGTTTTCATGTCGAAGTTGCCCGGTTCATTATCCTGATGCTTTATATATGTTAGCTGACAACTTTCTGCATGGTAAACTCATTTCTACATGAATTAGTTGCCTTGTCACAGAATAGGTGAGGCATTTTTCAGAGGAATTCAAAGGATATCCTAAGAGACATATGATTCAGGTGAGCTAAAGCCTTGTCTCCAAAAAATGATCCCCATATCTGGTTGCCAGCCCATAGAAGAGGTGGTTGATTACAAGTATGCTTCACCCAAACATACCTTGGAGCAGTTTTGCCCAACTTGGATGCCCCCCTCAGCTTTGTTCAGTACATTTCCAGATGTCGAGGCAACAGCAATGGACCTGTGAACAAAGCTAGGGAGATTTCAGTCTGAGGTGCTGAAACCAACAGTAGGAGTCAGAGGACCCCATATTTTGGGAAGGTCCTAATTGGAAGAGGATGTAGAAACAGGTAGTTTTGAAAATTTCATAAGAAATCAGAATACTGGAAGGGAAGAGTTCATATGAAGTGAAGCCTTGCACCCTGGACAATGTTCTATTGTCATAATAGACGTCACTTCACATGTGAAGTTAAACATTTAATTAAAAGTACAGCTTTAACCATCTGAGAAAGAGGAATGTTAGTAGTTATGATTCTGCTTTCTTTTCTTTCTCCATCTGTCATATTATCACCTCCATACTCTTTTTTATAAAGGTATCCCATATTCCATTTTTCAATGCTATTTTGTTAATAAAAATATGTAATCTAGTTTGTTATACTACTTTCCAGTCACCATTGTATCATTTTACCTTTATTTCAGCATTCATCACCATCTTATTTTACCAATCTGTTATGTACTGCCTTTCAATTTTAAAAATTACAATCCTCTAATGTCTTAATTGGCATGTGTATCTCATTTATTATTTCTTTCTCCAAGTATCTCACTATTGTTCTTGGTATGTTTGATAGGTCCAAAGTCATGTTGTTCTGTTTAATAATTTTGATTGCTTTCCAAAAGTACACCATTATTTTACAAAGGACTCTTGGGTCACCAGAAAGAATATGCTCTCTATTCACTTCCTCTTTTTTCTCAGTTACATCTAAGATGTAACATGGTAGTGGATCTCAGATTATTCACTATATAGTACATATTATATGGGCAATCATTGGCTTAACAATAAATAACAGGCAAGAAATATTAATTATGAGAGGGAGTCATCAGTGGGACTTGAAATTTAATCAACCTTTTAGGCACTTGTGTTTGTCATTACCTAAAGACTATTTCTGACCAAATCAAACTTTCAGAGATTTCAAATTTTGTGATATTTAATTTTCATACTATTTCACAAAGTCAGAGCCAGATACCACACTGTTCACACTGGATTCACTGAATGTTAATGCTATGTATGCTGATACATATGCAGGTCTTTTATTACCCAAGCACACTAGTGCTCAACTGAGATGAATTTCACATGTTGCTCTCTGATTTACCCAGCATTTCTCCTCCCATTTCAAACCTTCAATTTCTCACATTATCTAGGTAACAGCTTGCCAAATTTTAAGAATTGCTTCATCCATCAGCCTCACAAATATATCCCATGACATTCACAAGTTAGTTGTGTCATGTACAACTGTGGGTCAGTTACTTTTGCAATGACCTGCAATAATTCATAGTTACACTTTTATTATAAAGAGAAGACCTCAGCATATTTCTTTATACCAGCTTTTTAAATCATGATTACAGAAAAAATGTTTTTCTGACCCTCCATCCAAGAATGCTTTAACAGAGCATTTCCCTAAAGGACAAATATTTCTTTTAGAGTATCCTCCAATAGCTCTCTCCTCTTTCTAAGGCTGATTTTTCTGTAATTTTATAATTTTTGCAAAAACCACTTAACACATAGCTTAGACATGACATTTTCATCATCTTAAAGTTGATGATGTGGCTGTCAAACTAAGGTATAATTTATGAAAAGGAGATATGATATTTATTCAATTTATTGCAAAAATCAAATTTAAAATGATTTAATAGTAGATCAGTTCCTCAATATGTTTCTTGTGGGTTCATTTTGGTCCAGGAAATTGGGAGTTTTCTTAATGCTATACTCTCAACAATAGTTGATTGTTTTTTAGTTTTTCTTAATCACTAACAATTTTGAAACTACAGTCTGTAACTATAACTGTCAGTAGAACTAGTAGAAATATCTTTCTGTAGTTCTCATGATTTTAAGTAAAATATTGCCTAAAGACTATTTTTTGTTAACTTTTATTACATCTGCTATTGTGGAAAACAGAAATATTTGGTATATATTGGTGTTTTGATTATTAAAGAGTAGTGGAGGTATACCTTAAAAGTTTTCTTTTTTTTTACATTATACTTTTTTAAAAATTTTTAAATAGCTTGTTTTACATGTCAATCCCAGTTCCCTCTCCCTCCCCTCCTCCCGCACTCCCCTTCCACCCTCCCTCCCACCCTATTGCCAAATCCTTCCACATAGGGGATGTCTAGAGTCTATCATTTTACTCTTGGTAGGGTCAAGGCACTCCCCTAAGAGTCCAGGCTGAGAGAGCATCTCTCTTTGTGCTATAGGCACATGAAGACAGATTGTATACCAGGGATAGACACTGATTCACAGCTCAGAGCCCCATAGGTTGTCCAGGCCTTCTCACTGACACTCACATTTGGGGGGTCCATATCAGTCCCATTCTGGCCTCCCCACTGTCGGTCTGGGGTCCAAGAGCACTCCCCTGTTCAGATCAGCTGTCTCTGCTGGTTTTGCCAGCCCATTCTTTGCTAATTTGCTCATCACTCCTCTCTCTCTGTCACTGGGTTCCTTGGGTTCAGTTCAGTGCTTAGTTGTGTGTTTGCCTCTGCTTCCATCAGTCCCAGGATGAAGGCTCCCGGATAGTTATAGACATCAAGTTCATTATCAGGAATGGGCATTCGAGGTGGTCCTTCCTCATCGACTGGCTGTCAGATGGTTTCTTTTATATTTCAACATTCCCTAAAGTGAAAATCTGGAGGTAACAGGATTATATGAGACAAGAAATCCAGTAATGATAGTAACTTAGAACGCACACAAAGTTCTCTGTTTGCCATATCCAGAGTCCAGGTGTTATAGCCTGAATGTGAATTGTTCTTATACTTTTACTCTTTGTTGAAGGATAGAAAAAGAGGAAGAAAAGGAAAAACAGGAATATTAAATAACTTTAGTTTTCACCTGCAGTGAATTCCAATTGGTCTTCAGAGTAAAGACCTGGAGCCACATATAGGGATAAATGCTGAAAGACAAAGAAGCAGAAGAGTCAGCCACTAGTTCTTACCTCTATTGAATCCAAAGTGGTGATCCTGGCTCTATGCATCCTCAGTTTGAATGCAATGAGCTCCTGTCTCCCCCAACATTATATTCCTCTCTCTGTCCAGCCATATTACTCTTGTCTCTACATCCCCAGTACTAGGATTGAAGCATGGGACTCCCAAGTACTGGGATTAAAGCTGTGAGTTACCACCACATGGACCAATTTCTCTTTGAGACTGTATCAATTTAGTGGAGCCCAGGGTGGCCTTGAACTCACAGAGATCCATTTGCCTCTGAGTTCTGGGATAACTGTGTGTGCCATCACTGTCTGGCCTCTATGGTAACTAGTGGCTTGTTCAATATTTTGATCTTCAGGCAAGCTTTATTTGTTAAAGCACAAACAAAATATCACCACAGCAACTATTAAAATCAGACTCAAATTTCGAATGTTTCTCTCATGTATTCAATGAAGATAAATTTAACTATATGTACTCTCCTTTGCCTACCAAGTAAACAGAGTAATACTTGGAAACATCTTAAAACAATTCTTCCTGTGAAGTAGAGAGAAAAAGTGGCTACTGTACAGGGATATTCTAGCAATTAGTTCTGTACAAAAAATTCTACACATTTAATAATATTTGTTATATAGACTGGTATTTTTTCAGTGTGGAAAATAAAGTTAACAGAGCTTGGGGATTTCCTATAGTAAGAAATCTAGTTTCTTAAAGCAATGCTTTGTCTGGGATTTTTTAATCTCACCATTCTAAACATATGAGGGAACTACTTTCATTTCACACTATATACATACATACATACATTGGAGTCAACATTTAAGACTACCGAGACCATGCTTATTTGGAAATCAGTGTGGGTTATTCATAAATCACAGTCTTCCATTAACCCAAGATAAGGCACTTCTAGGGAAAGTTATTTGAGAGAAGCAGTTTCAGGAGAGAGTGTGAAAAAATAAGGGCAGTGCTACAAATTATATAATAGAGCCCAGAACTCAAGCATATGCAGTTTCATATTTAGCACCTCTCAAAAAGAGCATTTTTATAATAGAACTGTTTTATATTTAGATCTGTATCATCCTTGGATGGCTTGTCTTTTTCCAATTCTCTGAGGACATTCTCAAAATAATAGTGACACAGAAGCCTCAGCATGCTTTGGAGGTAAAAGTCCTTTGTGTACAAAGTCACTGCTGCAGCTTGTCCATCCTCAGGAGACTGTCATCATGCCTGTTTTTAATGTGATTTTTGCCTTTCAACTTTTAAAGTGAAAGCACAAGAAGATGAGAATAAATGTGTTTTCTATACATTTATAACATACTCTGCTTGCTTATTCTTTGAATGCTTCCTAAATAGTTAGTTTCATTGCATGTATTAATTGAATTAACAGGAAAACTACATAGTGACAAAGCTCCAATTTTCTTTATATTGGTATTTTATGCCATTATCTACTATTATGCAACAATCTATGGTTTGATTTTTCTTTCTTTTTTTGTTTTATAAGCTAATTGAACTTTTTTGTTGTCTCTTTCTGGATCCAGTCTCCAAACACAATAACATGGTAGGGGGTGTTAGAGTTCAGTCTGTAAACAGCCTTAGAGGATGACCCATATATATATATAAGCCAGTAACTGTCAAGCCAGTAATCATATTAAACTGAAAATTACTTAAGAATCTGAATAGTATGACTATTCAGTAGCTGACTTCTGTTTTCACTGGGAATTTTATTTTACATATTTACTTATTTGTGGTAGGGATGAATGGTATCTTACATGTGAGTACTAAAGATAAAACTCTGGCTTTTAAGTTTAATGGCAAGTGTCTTAACCAACTGAGTCATCTCACCAGCCCTTCCTTGTTAAATTTAATACAAAAATATATATGTGTGTATGACTATATTTGTGTGAATAAAAATGTATTTACCAATAATAGTTATGTATTTTTATTTGTCATATTGCTATGAAATGAGTAAAAGCTAATTTCTGATACATTTTATGATGTTAACAGAAGAAAAACATTAATCTATATATGTATTATCAATTTTGTTTTATTCTATTTTTCCTTTTATTGAAAATAAATTCATTTATCATATATTATATTCTGATTATAACTTCCCCTCTATATATTTCTCAAATACTCCTTACCTACCATCTACTTATCAAAAAAGAATGGTTTCTAAATTATAACAACCAAACATGAGAAAACAAAATATAGTAAGATGAAGTAAAAACAATCATGCCAACTGAGCAAGAGGAAAAGGGTCCCCAAATAGGCACTAGAGACAGAAACCTATTTGTTCTCATAGTCAGGAGTCCCATAAGAAATGCTAAGAAAAAGCAATAATGTATGCACCGTGGACCTGATGCAAACCAGTGTAGGTGCTATGATTGCTACTTCAGTGACTATGAGCTCATTTGCCACTTGCTTGGTCACTTCAGAGGGTCTTGTACTCCAGGTGTCTTACATCCCCTCTGGCTCTGACAATCTATCCTTGATTCCCTTACCTTTGAGGAAAGGGATTTGATGAGGTAATTTCATTTATATTCTCCCTGTTATGTGGGTCTTAGGTCTCTGATGGAACATGTGTTCCCATCTGCTGCCAGTAGAAGCCTCTCTGATGATGACTGGATTGAATACTGATCTGGAGCATAGGAGAATATCACTAGAGTCATTTTGTTGATAAAATAATTTGGCTTTTTATGACCAAGAGTATTTGGTTTTAACCTAGTTTTCTGGACTTTCTAGTCTCTGGTTCTTGTTTATCCCAGCAGTGAAATTTAGGTCAAATCATATATTGGTGGGCTATTCCTAAAAATCTTTTGCCACCATTTCCCTATGTATCTTACAGGAGGACAGAGTGTAGACCAGAGGTTATGTGGCTAGGTTCGGGGTCCACATTTCTCTTTCGTTAGACTGAAGAATACTTTCACCTTGAATGTAGGGGTGAAGACTCCATGTAGTCAGCAACTTGACTTCTCCATGTTCTTTGAATTATATGGGTGTAGTCACAGCAATGACTGTTTGTCGACTGCAATCCTTGGTCTTACTCTCTGGCCAACAACACTTGAATGAGTTTCAGTCCACCAATAGAAGCCTTGCCTGGCAACAAGAAATTGCCAGTTAATACTTCATATCCTCTGTTGCAAGGAATCCTCATTAGGATCCTTTTTATAGATTCCAGCAGTTTCTCCTGCACTAAGATTCAGCATCATTCCCCATAAAGTTCCCCAATTTCAGCTGTCTCTGCCCATGCTCTCTCCCTTTAACTCATGTCCCCTTAATCCTCCCAGTTTGCACATAGATCTACTGTATTTCCCACTCCCAGGGAGATCCATATGCCAATGAAACCCCTTCTCTTTTCCTACCCCTCTTGGACTGTGGGTTATAGTTTGATTATCATCTACTCAACAGACAATAGCTACTTATAAGTGAATGTATATCATATTTATCTTTCTGTATCTGGACTATGTCATTTGGGATAATTTTTTAACCAATTTCATCATCTGCCTAAAAAAACCCAAAGACATGATGTCATTTTTAAAAAGAAGTCTGAATATTACTCCATTGTGCAGATGTACCCCATTTTGTTCATTCATTATTCTACTGCAGGCATCCAGGTTTCTGTTCAGATTCTAGCTTTTTTGAATAAAGACACAATGAACATCATTTATTGAGAGGAATAAAAGTTTATTTTTCACTTTCTTGTCATGTATCCTCCCATTAATTTAATTTTTAGTGCCATAGATATATACTAAAGCTATGCTAAATAGTTTCACTAGGTGTAAGAAAATAACCTGGAAAAAACTTAACATTTTTCAGCCACTCCTGGAGTGATGGATTAGTGGCTAAACACCCATACTCCTACTAAAGAGGGCAGAGGTTTGATTTTCATCACCTATTTCAGATGTTTCACATGTGTCTGGTACTGTGGTTCCAGTGGGATCTGTTACCTCTGACCTCTGCTCTCATCTGTATTCATGTATACACACAATCTTAAAAGAAAATTGGGAATCAATCTACCTCAATCTACCTCAAGGGCCAGTGATACCACACTTGGGCATATACCCAAAAGATTCTTAATCATACCACAAGGACAATTGTAATGTGTAGTTTTCCCTGCCATCCACCTGGGACCTGTTGAGCTTTCTGAACCCCAAAATATCACACAAGAAACTATATTAATTATAAGCTGTTGGCCATTTACTATTATTTCTTATTGTCTATCTCTGACTTAATTATTGATCCATAATAATCAATATATATTTTATAAGGGCTTATCTTTTCAAGAACACCAGACTTGCATTCTCTTCTCCTGGGATCACATGGCAACAGCTCCATTAACTACATTTCCCAGAATCCTCCTAGACTCCTAATTCCACCTGTCTTGTTTCCCTATTGGCCAACAGTGCTTTACTGACAATATACAAAGGACTTCCCCATCAGACTCTTGCTCAACAATTTTCATGGAAACATTATTCATAATAACCAGAACCTTAGAAACATCTTGGATGCCACTCAACTAAATAATAGATAAAGAAACTGTGGTATAGTTACACAGTGGAGTGTTACTCAGCTGTTAAAAATAATGATGTCATGAAAATTTCAGTTAAATAGGTCAAACTACAAAAATAAACAACCCAGAGCGAAGTAACACAGACCCAGAGAGACATAGTAAGTGCTCAGTCATAGTGGATATTATCTGTAAAATAAAGGATAACTATACCACAATCCACAGACCTAGAAAGAGATGATAACAAGAAGGTTTCAAGGAGGGATAATTGGATCTCCTTGGGAAGGTGAAATAGCAAATATTTCCTCAGTGGTCTGAGAGAAGGTGGGGATGGGAACAGGAGCAACCAGGTTGAGGGCAGAAGGATGGGGAGAGTACTGAAAGAGACTACTCAAAAAGGGGGAGCATATTGGGGTCAGGTTAAAACCTTGAATAAGTAAATTTCCCAGGAATTTATAAGGATTACTCCAGCTAAGACCTCTACCAATAGCAGACAGTTACTCTGAACAAGTCATCTCCTGTGACCAGGAAAAGCTTTCAGGGGAGAGACTGTGAAACCAATCTAGTCACAGAAGCTTTGACTGAAGCTAAGACTTATCAAAGGCAGATCTATAGCCTGAGGTGGTCATCTTCTTTGACCATGTAAAACTTCAAGTGGAGGAAGTGGGAAAACTACCCAGCTACAACTTTCGACATTCAGTATGTCCTACCTATGGAATGTGCTGACATTTGGGTGGCACAGAGATTGAGGGAGAGTCCAACCAATGACTGACTGGTATACTTCTAAATCCCATGCCAGGAGATCCAGTCAATTACTGACCCTTCCCAGAGCATCAGAACCTACAGCCTGGATGACCCATATACCTAGAATAGAACCAAACATGATTAGAGGGGATATGGCAATGTAATGATATTTTGTTATACTAGTAGGTTGTGGCCTAGTTCAATTGTCATCAGAGAGACTTTGTACAGCAACTGATGGGAACAGATACAGACACACAGCCAAATACTAGGAATAGGAGGAGCTCAGGGAAGACTAGAGAAGAGGTGGATACAGGAGTTTAGAAGCCAGAGGTATCAAGGATAACACGAGAAAATCACAGAATCAACTAACATAGGTACACAGTGGCTCACAGGGACTGAAGCAACAGCAGTTAAGTTAGCATGGGACTGACTAAACACTAGATACATACATGTTATAGTTGTGTAGGTTAGTCCTCTTGTGTAACTCCTAAATGTGGTAGTAAGGGCCATCTGACTCTTTTGAGCTTTTGTGACCTTATCCTCATACTGGATCACTTTGTCTAGTCTTAATACATCAGTAAGTATATAGTCTTATTGTAACTTACTTCTTGATTTGTTATTATCCATGGGAGATCTGCCCTGAGGAGAGGATTGGGTGTGGGAACATAGGGGAATAGGGGAGGGACTAGGAGGAGAGGAGGGATGGAATCTGTGTCATGGATGAAAAATAAATAAACTATTAAATAATTAAAAATGTAGTTACCATATGATCTACCTAAACTATGACTATGTATATATCAGCCCAAATGAAATTAACATACAGAACACACAGCAACACGTCTGTTTATCACTGCTAAATTCACAGCAACCAATATCTGGCTTCAACCCTAAAAGCATGTAATTGATGAGAAAAATGTATGTACATGTGAAATAGAATAATATTCAGTCACACACAGAAAAATACAGAACAATATCGCTGATCATTTTTTTCATTTCTTGTACTTTTAAGTTTATGTTCCAAAGTTAAATGCCACTTAAATTATTGCCTACTCTGATTCTTATATTATTCTTTGCTTTACCACTTTGTACTCCACCTCATAGATTAAAATCAGAACAAAAATAAACCCTAAAGTATTAGTCCTTGAACTGTCTTTGTAGTGCTTTTTCATATCATAAGTTAGAGTTATAAATACAATGCTTAATAACCCTGGTAAATGTGCACCCTTTCAGTGACACTGCACAGCTCTTCCTGGTTATACATGAAAAGTTCTACTGAACTTCATGCATTGGGGCCTTCTTATCTGCTGATAGGGTCTTACAAACTATTTATATTCCAAAACTTCAGATCTACTCAATGGTTGAAGCCTTTCGAAGATTCATAATAAGATGGCATGCATGGGAGGTGGTAAAAATGTGAGGCATGAGAAATTGAAGGAGGCTTATACTCACCCAAGTTTATCTTCCCTGATTCTGTCCTATTGATGTTTTCTCTGTTTCGTGTCCACTCTGCTGTTACCTGGTCTGTTCCACTATTCTCTCCTGGCTGTGATGGACTGACAGCTCCAAATCCATGAACCAATATAACAGTGTTATTTTTATCAACTCTTTGGCCACGGATCTGAAAAAAGTAACTAATAAAACTATACAGAGCAGAATTATATGTTTTGATTTTCTATATCCTTTCATATTTATGTTTAATATGTTTTTTAAATTCTAGGGAAAAAATTCAAAACCATATAAAATTATATATGGGTTTTTAGATCTTATATGATTAATATAATGACAACTGTGTTTTATATTTTGCCTTTGAATATACTATTTGATTCAGAATTCTCTTAATGAATGTTTACTCAAAAAACAGCAAATAGCACCTTTTGACTACAATTTGAAATATATTTTGAATTTACTTTCTTTAATAGTTCTTTAAAGAAGTTGGAAATTATCCTGATGAAATTCCAATATTTGAACTGACAGTAGGTTTATCTTCAGTGGGAAAACTATATTTTTTTGCATGTTAAATCTGTCTTACACCATAAAACAAATCCATAACTGATAATCATCAAAGTTTAATTCATTTTTATACATTAGTAATATCCATAAAGTATATTCCTCATAGTTTGTAGCTTTTTTCATCTGAGATGCTACTAGACAATGTTTCACAAACACATTATTCAATAGTAAATCATTTGTTACATTGAGCATTTTCAATAATCAAAATACACATGAATCTTCCTATTAGAAAACAAAAGTATTGGTAAGCTTAGCTTCAAAGCTGTTTTCTCTGTCAAACACTATTTAAATTAGGAAGATTGTTGAGAAGACTTAATCATTTATCATTTCTTTTTTTTCTTTTTTCTTTAATTTTTTCACATGTTACTCTCAATTCCCTCTTCCTCCCCTCCTCCCTGATTCCCAAATCCTCCCAAACTCCTACTCCATTCCATCCCCCTCCTCTCCCCAGGGAGGGCAAGGGCTTCCATGAAGGATTTTCAGAGTCTGTCATATCATCCCAGGCAGGGCCTAGGTCCTCCCCCATGTGTCCAGACTGAGAGAGCATCATTTCATTTGGAATGGGCTCCCAAAGTCTATATGCATGCCAGGAATAAATAGTGATCTAGTCTCCAAGGTCACACAGATTGCCAAGACCTCTTCTCTGACACTCAGGTTCAGGGCAGGGTGGGGGAGAGGTGTGTCTGAATCAGTCCCATGCTGGCATATCAGTCATCAGTCTGGGGTCCATGTGTTCCCCTTGTTTAGGTCAGCTGTGTCTGTGGGTTTTGCCAGCCTGATCTTGGTCCTTGGCTTATCACTCCACTTTGCAAATGGGTTCCAGTAGTTCAAATATGTTTTTAGCTATGGGTGTCTGCCTCTGCTTCCCTCAATCACTGGATGAGGGTTCTAGGATGCACAAAGAGTTATCAACCTCTTTTAGATCTGTAAAGATCTCACTAGTGCCAGATCTCTTCTCCAGCTTTTAAGGGCTCCCTCCCTTATGGTATCCCTCATCCTTCTCTCATCTATTCTTACCCTGGCTGAAACTGTCTGCTCTCCCATGTCCTCCTCTCCTTTTCTCTTTTCTCCCTCTCTTTCTCCCATCTCCTTCTGTTTCCCCCCAACCTTGCTCCCAATTTAATTAGGAGATCTTGTTCCATAACCCTGATCCACGGTTCCCATGCATATATATCTCTCAGGATCCTCCCTGCAACCCAGACTCTCTGGCGGTGGGGTTGTAGGCTGGCAGTGCCCTACACTATGTCGAAAATCCATATAAGAGTGAGTACATACCATGTTTGTCCTTTTGTGGCTGGGTTACCTCACTTAGGATGGTTTCTTCTAGTGCCATCCATTTGCCTGCAAATATCAATATTCCTTGTTTTTTCTGCTGAGTAGTACTCCACTGTGTAAATGTACCACATTTTCTCTATCCACTCCTCAGTGGAGGGGCATGTAGGTTGCTTCCAGGTTCTGGCTATTACAAATAATGCTGCTATGAACATAGTAGAACAGATGTCCTAGTTGTATGAGTGTACATCTTTTGGATATATGCCTAAGAGCGGAGTTGCTGGGTCTTGTGGTAGGTTTATTTCCATTTTCCTGAGGAATCTCATACCAATCTCCAAAGTGGCTGCACAATTTGGCATTCCCACCAGCAGTGGAGGAATGTTCCCCTTTCTCCACATCTTCCCCAGCATAAAGTGTCATTAGTGTTTTTATTTTAGCCATTCTGATGGGACTGAGATGGTATCTCAGAGTTGTTTTGATTTGCATTTCCTTGATGGCTAAGTATGTTGAGCACTTTATGAAGAGTCTCTTGGCCATTTTAGACTCCTCTATTGAGAATTCTGTATTTAGTTCTGTACTCCACTTTTTAATTGGATCTTTTGATGTTTTGGAGACTTGCTTCTTGAGTTATTTGTAAATATTGGAGATAAGCCCTCTGTCAGTCGTGGGGTCTGTGAATATCTTTACCGTTCTGTAAAGATACTTCCCACTTTCTCTTCTAATAGATTCAGTGTGGCTGGTTTTATGTTGATGTCTTTGATTCATTTGGACTTCAGTTTTGTGCATGTTGATAGATATGGATCTATCTGCTGTCTTTTACATGCCAGCATCCAATGATTCCAGTACCATTTGTTGAAGATGTTTTCTTTTTTTCATTGTATAGTTTTAGCTTCTTTGTCAAAGATCAGGATTTCAAAGGTGGGTGGGTTGATAACATGGCCTTCAATTAGATTCCATTGGTCTACCTGTCTGTTTTTTTCCAATACCAAGCTATTTTCAGGACTATAGCTCTATAATAGACTTTAAAGTCAGGGATGGTGATGACTCCTGAATTTCCTATATTGTACATAGGGCTGTTTTGCTATCCTGGGTCTCTTTTTCCTTATAAAGTTGAAGATTGTCTTTTCCAGGTCTGTGAAAATTTGTGCTGGTATTTTGATAGCGTTTGCATTGAATCAGTAGATTGTTTTTGTTAAGATTACCATTTTTACTATGTTGATCCTACCTATCCAAGAGCATGGGAGATCTTTCCAGTTTCTGGTATCTTCTTTAATTTCTTACTTTAATAACTCAAAGTTCTGGTTATACAGGTATTTCACCTTTTTGGTTAGAGTTTCCCCAAGAAATTTTATGGTGTTTGTGACTATTGTAAAGGGTGATGTTTTTCTGATTTCCTTCTCATTCTTTTCATTTTCTATATATAGTAGAGCTACTGATTTTTGAGTTAATTTTATATCCTGCCACTTTGCTGAAGGTGTTTATCAGCTGTATGAGTTCCCTAGTAAAATTACTTGCGTGGCCTATGTAGACTATCATATCTGTGGCACCCATGCCACAAGCAAGTCCAAGGTATCAGGAAAATAAAGACCAGATGTCCAGCTGTTTGTACTAAGAAAATGCATGATCTGTCTTTTTTGCCGGGAGAGTGTGTGTGTCTGTGTCTTTATTGCAAGTGCTAAGAGGTCTCTCTCGTGTAGGAGGGAGCAGTCTTATATATATATATATATATATATATATATATATATATATATATATATATATATATACAGGCTTACAGCACAGTGGAAAAACCCCAGGTGAAAGACAGCATATTTTCCTTATAT